TCATACGATAGTGGTTACGAACCTCGGCGGCGGTGGACAACTACGGTGCGCACGATACCCGTGTCTCATCTCATAAAATCGATCTCATAAAATCTTTCCCGATCTCATAAAATCTTTCGCTGTAAAAAAAACGAGAGAGAGAAAGAAATAAACAAACCACGTGATCACAATCAGTGCCATTCACTGCAGCATGACATGAAGTTTGTCAGTACACTACATACATCATACTAAGCATGCCGAGATTATAGTCGCATATATGCAGGTCTGCCGTGAGAATCCCACTAATGCACTCGTAGCCCAAGCTGCGACAGCTCGTGAGGTCTGTATTCTAAAACAATCCCTGCTGACAATATATAGTCTTTTATTGATGAAAGATTTTGCAGTAGTGTGACTTTGTAATGGTGCATCCACTCTATCGGTCGATACGGAAAACGCAAACAGGAGGTACGTACGTTGCCTCTAGTGAGCTGTCATTCATTCATTCATTCATTCATTCATTCATTCATTCATTCATTCATTCATTCATTTATTCATTCATTCAGCGAGAACTGAAGTATATTTGAAACCTGCACATGTATAAACGCAATTCCACATCACGGAAAGTAGGACGACTTATTCACCTTCATTTATGTACTGCTCACGTTTGTAAACTATGAAGACGTGGAATCGGCAATGAGTAAGGTAAAAACTCAGTATACTATAGTGATGGGCGACTTTAATGCAAATGTAGGGAAGAAGCAGGCTAGAGACCAGGCAGTAGGAGATTATGGCATCGGCACTAGAAGCGCCAGAGGAGAGCTACTGGTAGAATTCGCAGAACGCAATAATTTACGCATTTTGAATACCTTCTACCGAAAACGAGAAAACCGCAAGTGGACATGGAGGAGCCCTAATGGCGAAAATAAGAACGAAATAGACTTTATAATGACTGCACACCCAGGAATCGTCCAGGATGTGGAAGTGGTTGGCGAGGTACGATGCAGTGACCATAGAATGGTACGGTCTCGAATTCGCCTAGACTTGAAAAAGGAACGACAGAAACTGATACGCAAGAAGCCAATCAATCAGCTAGCACTGAGAGGGAAAGTACAGGAATTCAGAGTGTCGCTGCAGAACAGGTACTCGGCTCTTAGTGAGGAAACCAACCTTAGCGTAGATACAATGAATGATAATCTGACGAGTATCATTACGGAGTGGGCAGTGGAAGTTGGAGGCAGGGTAGTTCGACAGGACACTGGCAAGCTTTCCCATGAAACGAAGAACCTAATTAGGAAGCGTCAAATCATGAAAGTGTCAAGTACAACAGACAGAATAGAACTGGCAGAGCTTTCGAAGTTGATTAATAGACGTAAAGTATGCGATGTAAGAAGGTATAACATGGAGAGATTTAAACACGCTCTGAAAAATGGAGGAAGCGTCAATGCAGTGAAGATTAAACTTGGGATAGGAAAGTCGGATGTATGCACTAAGGGACAAAGAAGGCAAAATAACTACCAATATGGATAGGATAGTTAAAATAGCGGAGGAGTTTTACAGAGATCTGTACAGTAGCCGAGACAACCACGACCTTAATACTATAAGAACTAGCAGTAACCCAGATGGCACCCCACCAGTAATGATAGAAGAAGTCAGAAAAGCTTTGGAGAGCATGCAAAGAGGCAAAGCTGCTGGTGAATATCAGGTAACATCAGATCTGCTGAAAGATGGAGGACAGATTGTGTTAGAAAAACTAGCCACCCTGTTTACGAGATGTCTCCTGGCGGGAAGAGTACCAGAGTCTTGGAAGAACGCTAACATCATCTTAATACATAAGAAAGGAGATGACAAGGACTTGAAGAATTACAGGCCGATCAGCTTGCTCTCTGTAGTATACAAGCTATTTACAAAGGTAATTGCTAACAGAGTAAAGACAACATTAGAATTCAATCAACCAAAGGAACAAGCAGCATTTCGAACAGGCTACTCAACAATTGACCACATTCATACTATCAATCAGGTAATAGAGAAATGCTCAGAGTATAACCAACCACTACACATAGCCTTCATAGTTTACGAGAAGACGTTTGATTCAGTAGAAATATCAGCCGTCATGCAAACACTGTGGAATCAGGGCGTAGATGAAGTATATATAAACATTCTGGAAGAAATCTGCAGGGGATCAACTGCTACCATAGTGCTTCATAAAGACAGCAACAGAATACCAATCAAGAGGGGTGTAAGGCAGGGGGGCACAATCTCACCAACGCTATTTACCGCGTGCTTACAGGAGGTTTTCAGAAGCCTAGAATAGGAACAGTTAGGGATAAGAGTTAATGGAGAATACCTTAGCAACCTGCGCTTCACCGATGACATTGCATTGCTGAGTAACTCAGGGGACGAATTGCAACTCATGATTACGGAGTTGGACGAGGAGAGCAGAAAGGTGGGTCTTAAAATTAATCTGCAGAAAACGAAAGTAATGTACAGCAACCTCGGAAAGGAGCAGCGCTTCGAGATAGGTAATAGTGCACTTGAAGTCGTAAAAGACAATGTCTACTTAGGGCAGGTAATAACCGCAGAGCCTAACCACGAGATTGAAGTAACTAGAAGAATAAGAATGGGGTGGAGCACATTCGGCAAGCACTCTCAAATTATGACAGGTAGATTGCCACTATACCTCAAGAGGAAGGTATATATAAGCTGTATCTTGCCGGTACTTAGCTACGGAGCAGAAACCTGGAGACTTACAAAGAGGGTTCAGCTTAAACTGAGGACGACGCAGCGAGCAATGCAAAGAAAAATGGTAGGTGTAATCTTAAGAGACAAGAAGAGAGCAGAGTGGATTAGGGGACAAACGGGGGTTAAGGATATCATAGTTGAAATAAAGAAGAGGAAATGGACATGGGCCGGGCATGTAGCGCGTAGACAGGATAACCGCTGGTCATTAAGGGTAACTAACTGGATTCCCAGAGAAGGGAAGCGGGTTAGGGGGAGCCAGAAGGTTAGGTGGGCAGATGAGATTAAGAAGTTTGCGGGTATAAATTGGCAGCGGCAAGCACAGGACCGGGTTAACTGGCGGAACATGGGAGAGGCCTTTGTCCTGCAGTGGACGTAGTCAGGCTGATGATGATGATGATGATGATGATGATGATGATGACGTTTGTAAAAAAGAAAAAAAAAGACAACAATGAGCCTGAGCTAACGTTTTAGTAGGTGGGCTGCTAAATTATCCACAATGTGAACTCTCCCTTCCCCACCCCGCATATAAAAACAGCTACGATTTGTATACAGCGTATGCGGTGCGGCAAGTTCCCTCACATAAACCAAGATTTCATTGATTATACGTAGCACAATAAACGTAGCACACCTCTAGCGTTTCAGGGACGAAAAATACATTTAGGGAATTATTATCACCGCAAAATATATCAGCGAACGATACGATTCAAAATAAAAATGTTCATTCTCTCTCCGTGACTGCTAGTCAAAAGGGGCCACGTTTTATAACTCGATATCTGTTTAACGACTTCCCAATTCGAATGAATATCTGGTTTACGTATACGCACAGCCTTTCATTATTATTATTATTATTATTATTATTATTATTATTATTATTATTATTATATTATTATTATTATTATTATTCCACACTCCCTTTTTGCTTCACAGCAGTCATATAATCTGTCAGATCGGCAGTTGCAAGAATACGTATAAAGATGCATGCAAAGCGTTTAAGGAGCTACTCTGTACACATAGCTCAGAAAATGTTGCGGTTTTTTTTTGTTTTTTGTTTTTTCATATCAATAGCACAAGCATATAGGTTCAGCGAGAACCTTCTTGCTCTTTGAGAAATGAACGGGTGCTGGTGTCCAGTGAACCTTCTTGTGTGCTGCGGCGGCTAATTTGTCAGCAATTCCGTTTCCTATATCACTCCCTATGCAAAGATGCATGGTTTGACGTAAATACAAAGCCGTCACTCTTATATCAAATAGATCCGTCTCTCCAATTTTCACCTAACCAATAGATCGATAGACCATTCGACACGCTATTGCACCGTCTACGATTAGGTGTTTCATACTCACCTCACTTTTATGCCGCATAAAAAGAACGTCCCCGCACTAAGACCACTGCGTCAATGTCGATGCGTCAGAGGAGCATATTCTTTTAGAATGTATGCAATACAATCAACAACGCGCTGAACTGAGGGATCGCTTGAACCGACTTGACAGACGACCATTCACGATTAGAAGAATTCATGAACCGCAGCCGCATTTGGATAATCAACGGTGCGCATGTGAGCGCCCTTCGTGATTTTTTAATGAACACAAATCTAATGAACTGTGAATGTTCATATCGTACCTTGCCGCTATCTGTACGGACTCCACCAGCAGTGTGATCCCGATATATTAACACTGGACTATGACCATACATACTGTACTTATTCATGCATTATATGCCCTTTATAATGTATATAGTATTGTACATATTGCAATTTATTAGTTTTTGTTCCTATTTTATTCCTAATTCTGACTTTCTGTGTGTTTTTTGTACATTACTGTTATGATGATGGGATAGCCGGCTCTAATGTAGCCTACATTCCCGTGTTCCACCAAATATAAATAAAAAAAGAATATAGGTACAGCAATATTGCGTCATTCATGCAGGAAGTGTTAAAAGCGCGTCTTTCTGTTCTATTCAAAGACCCCTACGCGACCTCACTCAATCAGTGGTTTTGCTTCAGTTTTGGTGAGAAACACTCTTTGTCGAGTTAACCCCCTTTGAGCAGTGTTTTGCGTTAATTCAGAAGGGTGAATTAACTAAAAAGCGGAAGCTCAATGCGTGTAGTTCGTCAATCAATTTCTGATCGCCAAGTATTCCGACCCGGTCCCTGAAGCCTCAGTGTGGCACTTACAACAAAATATTGGTAAAAAATGAATGAAGAACAAGCCATCGCAAGCTTTTAACAACAAAAAACAGCTCCCAAAGCAATGAAATTACTTTGACAGAATCAAAACAGAACTCACGGTTTTCGAATAGACGGCAATCTGACGCAACAAAAGCCGGCTGCAAGTCAGTCTTTCGTACCAGACGATGCCGGCAGTGAAGCAGACGACGCGCGCGTTCGCTTCAAGCTGAATGTCTCCTCAACGCGGATCACCCAAACAATACGGGCTTTTAGATTGCCAATTCGCCTCTGCACATCACGTTAGGTCAAGGTTGTTGTTGCTCCCTCCCCGGCGCACAAAACGTAGTGACGCTGACGGTCGAACGGCTGATCCAGCAACAGGCAAGAAACAGCAGTTGCAAACCGCTCTCCGTCCGTCAGTGCGCTCGGAATACCACGTGGTACGCAGACGTAATACGCCTTTTTTATTCTCTCTCTCTCTCTTTATTACATTTTCTTTGTTCCTCGAACGCTGCAATTTGCGTTTCCCTTTTCTTTATGTTGATCGTTACACGAGGATATGACGTCACAAAAATGTAGAAGACAGAAAGGAAAAAGAAACGTACGACGATATCGCACCACTGCAGCAAAGCCCCGCCTTTAGGAGGCGCTCCCCCCCGCGGGCTCTGAAGAGGAAGGGAGATCTGGACGAGAAGGCCAGAAAGAAAAAAGAAAGTTACAAAACGAAAACGGAACGAAAACGCCCAGCGGCGGCTGCGTACTATATGGCCGTGAACACACGCGCAGGATGACTGAACGTGGCGATATTCATATAACGGAGGCAAGGAAATCTCGGCGACTCCAGTCGGGCGCCCTTAGCAGATGCGCGACCGCGTATATTTTTAGCGATAGATAAATAGCGGGAAGAAAAGTTTCGTTTTGTTTTTGTTTTTTAATGCACACCCGATAGCATAGCGAAACGCTTCCCTCGCGTCCTTCACTTGGTTTTATCTTCAATCATTAAGTGGTTTCACATATCTCCAGGCTGGATAGATAGACATATCGCTTTATATGTTTCGCTCTGGGCGAGAGATTTTGTCCGCGTGTTATACGGACGAAGTTGGAGTGTTCGTGCGATCGCGACTCGCTTGAAAAAACACGTTCTTAACATATGCACATAGCCCGCGGCGGTACAAAGGCCCTCGCCACTGCGACTGAAGCCGCCATTTTAGCAGATATCGCGGTCACTGTCATAGTAAGTCCATAGTTGAGACGCAGCATACACGGATCGGCCGATTTATGAGTGAATAAAAAAATGTTGCCTCTGCGCTACGGTGTTGTGATTAAAGCGACGGGCCGCGGATAACTTCATTCAGCTCCGTTCAGAGGGCTGAAGGGTTATGAGATTACGAAGAAATTTGGGTGCACGTTAAAGAACCCCAGGTGGTGGAAATTTACGGAGCCCTCCACTACGGCGTCTCTCGTAATGATATGGTGGTTTTGGAACGTTAAACCCCACATATCAATGAATCATTCCGAGGAAAGATATACACAGAGTGTAGTTATTTAATGACGTCTGAACCAAAAGAGACTATACTAATGCCACCTTGGTCTGAAGTATCACGGTTAAAACATTGTTGCTTTTTTTTTTTTGCATTTAACACTCAAGATGTCATCTGTACATTGCTTTTTTCAAGGACGGTGAACATTTTCTTGCCAATAAGCATTTGCAGCTGTACACCCCCCTCACTGATCACATCGAATTGATGACGCGTGGAAGCATCGAGTGCGGGTGTTCCCCGGTGGCTTCCTGTCCGCATCTCGCACCCTTTTGGGCCTCCTGTAGGTAGAGCGCATGAATTCGGACCGTGGAGTAGCGTGGGAAGTTTAAACCAATAATTCCTCCCCACGCCCGGGAATTTTTACGTTTACGTAGTAAGTGCGTACATACGCCAACCACCGCCTCCCCCCTCCCTCCACGCAAACAATTTCTTGCTGCGCGTTCCGAGTCTGGAAGTTATTGCATATTTACTCGTGAACCTTCTTTCACCTGGCCGCCAGGAGATAGGGTTTTCTCGGACGAATGAATTTTACATGTCGGATACACACCCAGAGAGGCGCGAAATCGTATATCTTTTGTGACATAATCGTAAAACCAACGCGCGCACTAGCCAGTTTCCTCAAGTGCGTTATTTTGCGCTCGTGTGCAGCGGTGTATTCACCGTTGCGTTTACTATAACACCACAAAAGCCCTATTTCTGTTTACAACTGATCAGTGAAGGCCACAAATTCTTGAATCTGCGGCACACGCGTCCACGTACTAAACAACCCACGTGACCAGCGAGCGAGTCACATTGTGTGACCCGTCATGTAGTCTCTGATCAACAAAATTTGTTACTTAAGCTTGACGCCACGAGAAGACGTCATGTAGTGGTCGCGTCATCATGCGGCGTCCACGATCGCCCAAAGATGGGCCAACCTGAGAATCAGTGCAACACTTCACGAACTGCGCAGAGCTTTAGCGGAGCGGTATGTGTTTTGGTGCCCGTTACGCCGCGTCAAGCGAGTCCTTTTAGGCGCTCCGTTGCCGCTGTCGTGAAGATCGAACAGAACACTTCGTCATGATGAACCGGCGCGCTTTCTTCATCGTTTTTTTTTCTCTTCGTCTCCTATTCATTATTGTGCCTCGCTCACACAAAAAAAAAACATGTCCCTATTTACACTCTGACGGGCACGAGATAACAACGCAAAAAGAAAGAAAGAGAGAGAGAAAGAAAGAAAGAAAGAAAGAAAGAAAGAAAGAAAGAAAGAAAGAAAGAAAGAAAGAAAGAAAGAAAGAAAGAAAGAAAGAAAGAAAGAAAGAAAGAAAGAAAGAAAGATGAAGAACGACACACCGCGATAATCAAGTAAACAGAGAGAAAGAAATATATAGGAGAACGAAGAACAGAAAAACGCGAAAAGTGGAGAAAAGGAAAGGAAAATAAGCATAGCAAAAGCGAAAAAGAAAAAGAAATAGATAGACAGAGAAGGAAAGAAAATAAGAAGCAACTGAGGCAAAAAGTAAATATATAGCGAAAAGCCCGAGAGAGCGAGGTGAAAGGAAAGAAGGTAATAGAGAAAAATAAAAATAAACAAAGGCGGCCAGCCAGCTTCGCACTTCCTTCAGGCTGAGCGCCTGACACCACTATAGGGCGAGGCTGCCTTAATTTTTATTTGGCTATTTACGCGTGAATAATCAATCATTATTTATTTATTTATTTATTATTTATTTATTATTTATTTATTAGTTATTTATTTATTTACTGAACGTCTGCGTTTTCTGGACTTTCATTGTCAGCGACTGATTGATTGATTGATTGATTAAAACTATTTCTTTTACCTTGAGAAGACGCAGGGCAGACCCCGCGCCACACGGCTAATCCCACGTAGGGACCGTCAAGCCGAGCTTGGCAGCCCGTTCACGGGCACTCTGTACGGGCCAGGGTTTGATCCTTAAGTTCGGGGCTGCGTAAGAGCGCAGCCCACCTGTCCTCGCTGAGGCGCGGGGCCGATGGCTTCACATTCCCACAACACATGATTGAATGTGGCTAACAGCCCACAAGCGGGGCAATCCGCACTTGGATACCGTTCAGGGTACTAGGCATAAAGAACCGCAGGGTTAGGATGTGGAATTTTTCGCCATCGGCATTTAGAAGGCCCCCGGCGAAACCTCTTACAGTACCCCCCCCCCCCCCCCAATCGTACTTTGCCAATATTTTGCGCCACGTTGCAAGAGAGAGAGATAAAAGTGTGTGTGTGTGTGTGTGTGTGTGTGTGTGTGTGTGTGTGTGTGTGTGTGTGTGTGTGTGTGTGTGTGTGTGTGTGTGTGTGTGTGTGTGTGTGTGTGTGTGTGTGTGTGTGTGTGTGTGTGTGTGTGTGTGTGTGTAGTACTACAAGAACCACGCATTAATGCGCACATTGTTCTTCTTTCAAGATGTTATTTCTTTGCGCTAAATAAGTAAAACAAATTGCACGGCATTCATGCGTTTTGTATTCAACACCCTACATGAAAATATTTTGCATGCACTTAGTTATCACAAAGTACTACGGGAGATTCAAATATAGCTTCCGCGTCGCAAAAATTACGGATAGCGAAACAGATCCAGTTTCAATGAAGTTTCCCTAAAACTGAAGCTAATGCACTATCCGGCGGGCGTCGGTGGTATATTCATTCTGCTTCTGGTCACCGACGCGTGCGGACGCAGGATGGAAAGCTCATCCCGAGCAGCGACAGCGGCCGACGCCGGCCGCGGTACAGCGTCTCCCCTCGTTCCAAAGGACTACAGGATTATTCTGACTTCGTTGCCATCAGGTGAAGCGATGCGTCGAGCAGTAGTAGCTCTACACTGCGACGTCAGCGGCCGACCGTACCGCATCGACGACTTCAGGAAACCTCTCAAAGATTTAGGCGTCATACAGCAAGTAAGTGGCATTGGAGCATATCAGATGTCGCACGTGTGGCTATTGAACATGAAGACCGTAGAAGCAAAGAAAGCGCTGACAGACGCAGGCGTTATCAAAGTTAAAGACCGGGTATGTCTCATCATTGACCCGACGCGGCAAGAAGTTAAAATGAAATTGCACTGGCTAGCGTTCGATGTTACAAAAGACGCTATTCGACGTGCCTTCTATGAATACGGCGACGTCAAGGAGGTGACCGATGACCGATGGAGAGTCGAGGATTTTGAAGGAGTTGAATCGACCACTCGTGTAATACGCATGCAACTACGAGATGGCGTTTCTGTGGATCAACTGCCCCATCAGGTGCGTATTGGCAGCAGTACGGCACTCGTCGTGGTGCCGGGAAGACCGCCTTTGTGCTTGCGGTGCCGAAGCACGGGGCATATGCGACGCGATTGTAAGGTCCCAAGGTGCAGCGAATGCCACTCTTTCGGTCATAAGCAGGACGAATGCAACCGTTCACACGCACGACCTGCAGGGCGACGACCAGAGACTCAACACAGTGAACTTCTCATGGATGAGGAGGAATCTGAACAAGCGTCTTTGCCTGCGATACCACAGAAGCAGACGACATCGGACGACACGCCGGTGCTGGGGAAAAGCAAGCAAGTTTCTTCAGACCCGGACACGAACGCCGAACGGAAGATGGGAAGTCAAGCGGCCCCAACGACTAGCGATGAGACGCGTCCTGCGCCTGCGATGCACGCCGCGTCGCAGCTGCAAGCAACGCGCCCTGAAACGCCGGCGTCCCAGGCCAACGCTGCTTCGAACCCTCTAAACTCGGCTTCACAGCACTCTTTGGCGGACAAAACACACGAAAATGAGGATTTGCCTAGTGATCTGGATACCTTAAACATGGAATTAGAATCGGCGTCTGCAAAACGCCGTCGCGATTCAGACGACGGTGCTCAAGTAGACGAAACGCAAGTAAAGTCGGAAATGCA